ATGTAATATTACGATACAGTATCACAAGAAAAGGGTTGTTCATAATTATCAACATTTTCGCAATTGTACAAACAGTGAACTCTCTTTCGGTACTTCCACCCTCCCCTCTGAAAGTGTACATAAAAAAAATGTTGATAATAGCAACACCATTCTCCGATTTTTTTTGTGAAGTCAACTTAAGTACTGTACTTGGTTATAAAAAAAATCTATATTATATTCATAGTTGCATTATAATTGGTCATGAAAGTTTATTATTTTAAATATTGCATGTTATTTTGAATCAATATTTTCATGCATATGTAAAAGTGTACAAATTTTTCTACGCCTTCCCCGCTAGCAAACTGTTTGTACACTTGTGAAAGTGTTGAAAATTTGTAAATGACCCCGATTGAAATACAACAAAAACGTGGATATTTTAATAATCATTACTTGTTTTTATGTTGCATGCAACGCTAAGGTTTTCAGTTTACAATATTAAGTAATGTTATATTTTTTACAAGAAAAGAAAAACTATTAAATACATGTTGAATTTTAAGTGATTTTCATTTGTTTTTTAACAGAAATTGATAAACTCTTTGAAGCTGAGCTTAACACTTTCCTTGATGACTTGAAATTATCATTAGTGACTGATGACTTCTCTGAAGATGTAATTCCTAAAGGTATTCAAACAATTTTGATTTTCTTGAAGGGAAGATATTGATTTTTGTAGTGTTTTGTGTTATTTTGCTGTTGTTATTCTATATCATGGATCCCCTTAAGTCTCTCAGTAATCAGGACAGTCTCCAGCAAATAGGCCATCCAAAATCGAAGCCAGTGGGCGTGGCACTGAGCCGATGGGCGGGCCACTCCCATCTTTGGGAATCCCCACCGAATATTGGTACAAAAACAACGTACATTAAATCAATGAATGTTGTCTTTATCAAATGTAAATATGATTTAGCTTTAGTTTAATGTAACATTCGATAGATTTGAAGAATACAAAGAATTTTCTAAAGGTAGGCCAGGCCCAATTAGGCTAGGCGGAGCTGCTTAGGCCAAGCCAGCCGCCCCCCCCCCTAAATCCGCCCCTGAATATAGTAGAGGCAGTAGAGAAAAAATATCTATTAATCAATCAGCTTAGTGTTTCTAGAGCTCCTCATCAAAGCTAGTAAAAAAACGAACAAACAAAACTTCAACAGCATTGATATTTTCTTATGTGTTTTTTGTTTTGTTTTGAATGTTATTATTTTACCTGTTTCTTTTTTAACCAATCATCTTATTTTGTTGTCCTTTTCAGATCCTATTGTGATGTTTAGTGAACATTGTAAAACAGTCAAATCCAGGATGACCTCTACACTCATCAGAAACTTGGATTCATTGCTAACATTAGTAGATAAAGGTAAAGTGAAATTACAGTCATTGGTTCATGGTAGTGATTATAGTATACAAATATTAACTGCTCATGAGGGGAATGTTGATGAGGTGACATGGAGACCGTTGGGCCAGCCCTCGGGAAGATAGGCTATGGTCTCCACATCATTGAGGGGCAATAGATTTCACCATTCCCTGAATCTAGAGCAGTCAATATTTGCTTTATATATCTCTTACATGGATTCTACGAGGCCTAAAAGAGTACTTTACTTCCTAGCCTAGAGGCCTACTACTAGGCGATCAGAGAGTGTTGCTCATTTCCTCAATTTTAACAGCACCCATCGTCTTGCAGTATTTGTAGAATATTAACAAGACATATTTAATTTGTCTCTTGTTGCTTTTGCTATCGGCTTCATCAAGAAGTAATGCTAAGCCTAGGCTCCTTCTTCATCTGAACCGACCAGCCTCCATATTTGATTATCATCTACTCGCTGATCTGTGGCATGGTGAAGGGCCAATCTCTTTCATTGTAGAAGTCGCAGTCCCCTTTACTGTCGGCGCGATGTTAAGGCGACAGGGCAAAAAAGTACTGTTTTTCAGGGGAATAGTACTTTTTCATGGAATAGTCCTTTCTATTGCCCTTTCCTTAACCAATCAGATGCCTAGAATCCATGTATGAGATATATAATAGTTAATATTGTAATATACTTGGTATTGAATATGCCCAAATGAAGCTATTCAAAGTGCCTGATACAAATATTACATAGATTTGTGATTTTTATAATATTTATTATTACAATATTATTTGTGTTAGGTACAAATAATATTACATATGACCATAGATCTGTGATTTGTAATATCACTTGACACACATGATATTACAAATCACAAATCTATGATCATTGATCATGTTTAAGGCCGGGCATTATCTATGTCATACAAAGGTCGTAAGACGAATCCAATTCCACTACCTGTGAGCGCTACACTACACGACACCATCTGCTGATTGTCAGTGGCAGGGGCATTAAAAACGATCCATTGCACACTCATCATGCCGTTGCGTTCTCCATGCATTCGCGTTGATTGATGACCATCGAGCGCCGCACCTGCCCGGCTTAATAGTTGACACTTTGTTTAAATAAAATTCAGCTAAAATACCATCGTGAATCAATTTTGATCATTTATTTTGAAAATTATTTTTGTTAATTATTATAATCATTGTGTTGTTGGAATTGGTACTTTATATGTTATATTTATGTAATTAATTACTATGTTTTGTTTTTTTTAATTCTGTAGATGATACAGCTCGAAGCAGGACTGGATCTGTTATAGAAGAAGATACTGTAAGTGTATGAATATGTATACAAAATGGTAATGAGAAAAGTATATAACATTATAGTGAAAATATGAATATGGTAATTAGGGGTATATTAGTTCTAGTTTTCGTAAGTCATGTATATGTTAATGTATGTTAATTAGAGATATATCGGTAGTAGTTTCCGTGTCAGTTGTTGCAAACAGTTATCATGAATATGTTAATATATGGTAATCAAAAGTGAAACATTTTGGAGAAGAAAATATTCAAATGAAGGATGAGTATAAATTAAATATTAACTGAAGGTACAAAACAACAATATAATGTTTTGAGTCCATAATTATTCATCCTTCCATGCCTGTTGAAAATATAATCATCCTGAGCTATTCAACCTATGATTGGTTGTGATGTTGTGCATTACTTTATCATGTCAGCCAATGCCTCCTGACATCTGTTTTGTCTTTTAATCAGGAGACTGGCTTGAAAGTTGAAACACAAAAGAAAAAAATAACAGGTAAGATTAATTATACACTTAAATCCCTACCTTAGTAACAAATTGTAATTAGAGTATTATTATTATTATTGTTTTCCAATAATTGATATATCTTAGAATATCAATTAAATTAAATAATTAGTTATTTATTGAGCATGTAACACATGGGTATGGCTTTGGGCCTCCAATAAAAAGATTGTGTACTTAAGTTGGAGGCCGGATATCAGTATCCTGAGACTAAGCACGTTATCTTACTTTGAATTCCAGTGTTTCACAGATTAGTAGCTGCAATATTGTGTTCCATAATGCGTTTCATCCATTGATAGTTATAATGTGAAGCCTTGAAATTGGCATTTCAAACTATGAGGAAGGGGTTTCTCATAATGGACTATTCCACTAAGCCCCACCCCTTGGATACCCCTTGGATACTGTTGCTAAGGTGTCACAAGACGACAGTCTTAGAACATACGTGAACATGCGTGTTTGTGGGACAACACGTGTCCTTGTTATACATGTGCGTATTCCAGGCACTGTTCTGATTGGTCAGTTGTCAAGTTTGATTGACATTCTGGAAAGGTCAGTTCCGGTCATTTGCCGGTCCTTGTCCTGGGGTAAATCACATTATCAGCTTTTTTCTCTCTTTTTAACGCAAACATTCTAGTAGTATATGTTGAATGCATTGGCCAATGCTTAACCTTTACGCATGACTAGTAATACTCTTCCAGAGACAGAGGTGGTACGTTGTGTAGATTTGTCGTTGCCAATGAACAGCGTATTAACGAATGGGATTTGCTTTAACTTCGCTTTATACAGAATTGTTGAAATTTACAGTGTTTTGTGTTCTTTCAGAGTTACAACTAAAATTAGATACAGAAGCAGAAGAAAATAGATTACTCAAGGAACAACTGCAAAAATTACAGGTGAAATAAATAATAAAATTTATTTATTTCTCATTTCAACAAATAATCACCTCTTGCTATCTCACATGCAGATCCTCTCAAAGATGGAAAAAATACTGATTTTTCTATATTTTAATCTTCTGTACATTAAATGTTAGTGAATATATAAGGCACAATTAAAATTTAGGTTTTTAACTTGGCTATTCTAAATTAAGTTACAAAATATAAAATCCACATACTTAATTTAATAATTTATTTGTAAAAATCAGTGAGTTCTGTTTACTTGAATCGTTCTCATTGTAATTTATTTATAGTCAATAGATTAAATTTGTCTTATTAATTCATTATTTTATAATATTATCTATGATTATTATGTATTATTAGCCCATTACCTAGAGTGACATTAAATGTCAAATTTTAGCCTTGTTTTGGGCAAACAAAAAACAAGCCATATTTACATTTTCAAATTATTAATTAATTTATTGTTCTGTTTGCAAAGCCATGGAGTTTTTGTTTCAGCTTCCCAACTTATTTTTTTTTTAATATACTGTGTTTAAATACCTCTACTATGTTGTTTTGTATTTTGAACAGGTGAAATATCTTGAATTCCTAACTAACTCTATTAATATCATTTTGTGCTACAGAATTCACACAAATCAGAATCAACAAGTAAATCAGATGAGGTTGCTAAGGTACGTACACACCTTGTTTAAAGCCCTGCCCATCAAATTTTCTGTTGTATGCCCATATATAGTCAAAATGCATCATTTCAAATGTTTTAAGGTTATGTTTTTTTTCGTGTGGATGTACCAATAGTGGTAAATCTTTAGACTCATAGGTTTGCATATTTTTTAAATTTCAAGAAAAGCTTTCAATATTGTTAAATTTTCTTGTCAGTGAAATTGAAACTAATTTACTTATCAGTATTGTTCTTTCAACAGTTGTCTGAGAAAGTAAAGAAAAAACAAGAAAGGTAAGGAAAACTTGTCTGTGTAAATTTTTAAGTTTTGATTTTCTATGATTCCCATATATTTTAATATTGGTATAACTGTCAATTTTTATTTCCTAGTATTGTTCAACTTCAAAATGAAAAAGAAGATTTATATAATGACATGAGGTAAATATTATGTTTTTGTTTTCAATTAATATAAGGTGCATGATGTGAAGAAGTAAATAACTTAAAGGGGTTATTTATTATAATTCAATAATATTAATAATAATGTGTAGGTTTTTTCCAGTGATACTGCTTCAACAAAAATGAAAGTTTTTTTTCTTTATTATGTAAAGCCACTACAAAGAAAAATTATATAGTTCCTAAATATTATATTATATTGTTGAACATACTGTACTTTTTTAGAGTTGTTTATTATGATCATCTTTATTATTTCATTATTTTCTTGTAATATGTATTATCGCAACCAAGATTAATTGTATAATCCCTGAATTATTATATTTTTATGCAGAAAAAAATTAGAAGATTTACAAAATTCCAAAGAGAAAGATGTCACAGTGAGTTATATTATTATGTTAGTAAAAAATTGAATTAGCCCCATTTATAATTGTAATAATAATAATATTAATATTTAAAGTGGTCGTATAGAGTATTGGTTCTTAAATCAGTCACTTATGGAACATTTAATTTATTTCGTAAGCACGTACCTGGATGAAATAATATATGTCTAGTTTTACTTTTTAAAATTTGAGTTCGATGAATGTTTATTTGTTATAAGCACTGCCTGGGATGGACAATTCCATTATTTCTTAGGTATGTTTCTTCATCCACATAAATATCTCACTCATGAACATGACGCATGTTGACGCTTAGAGCGTAGAGTTGTGTTCACAGCATGATTTGAACCCACGACATTCTGATTTAAAATGTGAACCACAACTGCTGTGCCATTATCCTCAATCAGTAATCAAGTCTATTTTTAATGAATTGTTGATTTCAGTCTATTGGCCTTTGATTGCATAAAGAGCAATAATATTTTGAATTGTGTTTTTCACTGCCTGAAGGTGTGTTCACACTTATCAAATTTTATGTGACAAACTTGAGTGATGATGATGTCACATTTTTTTTCACATAGAATTTGATAGTGTGGACAAAACTTAACTGTTGACAATTCTGTATTCATAATTTTTTTGAAGGATTTGATGGAGCAGAAGGGTAGAATACAGAGCCAACTTGCCAAGTCAGATAAGGTACCCAACACATTTGTTTATGTCATTGTAAATCATGGTCACTATTGCCATTTTCCTTTTAATATTGTTATAAAAACAATGTTTTTAATTCATATTTTGTATTATTTGCCTTTATTTACAAACGAAAATATTTTAAAACATATGATTAAAGTTTTCTCTCATAATTATGACAAGATTTTTTATAATTTATATATTTATTTATATATATTAATAAATATATTATGGTCAATGGTTGTGCACTTATATAGCACATATAAGATTTGTCTCTACATGCTTTCCAGGCAAACAGAAAAGAATAATACCAGAATATAGGGTTGAAAGAGAAAATAAGCGGTAGAAGAAAACTACAAAAATAAAGAAAAGTGAAAAAATTAAAGCAAAAAAAACAGGAGAATGGAGGAAAATTTGGAGATTGTCAATTAAGAACGAATTCAGACGGCGCTGAAAGATCATCAAATTAGGATATTATAAATACATTGAATCGTATCATGCTGAAATACTCCATTCATTCATCCTATGCTGTTCAAAATTAAAGATTCTGAGTTCTTTGTCTTGTGATTGGCTATAATGGTTACATATTACAACACTTTATTTACATATATCCACCCGTTAATTCTGTTACAGACGCTGACTGAATACCAAGCAAAAATCCAAGTTTTGGAAAACACTGTCGCCACGTTAAACGATCAGGTAAGTATTTGGAAGCTTACAATATTTATTTGTCTACATTATAATCTTGAACCTTCACCTCTCTGTACTGACCAATCACTTGACTCCCTCCACCTGATGCTATGAGATTAAAAGGTTCATCCCATGCTAAATGAAAGGGGTCAATGACCTCATAAACTGTGGCTCTTTTTAGCTATTATAGAAACAAATAGTGTGAATGTTAACAGATTATATCTTATATCAATAATTGCATGAAAATTTATTATGTAGATTAAAATCAGTAGTTTATTATCATGTACCTTAATTCTATTGTTTTAGAAACAAATATATCACTAAAAACATATTGCTAAACAAATATATCGCTTGTTAGATAATCCTTCAGATTTTAAAGTTCTGTTCACTATTATATTTTCTTTAACAAAAAAACTGTTGTATTCCCATATATAGTCATGATGCGCCTATATATGGTCATATTATGTCATCAACCATATTTAGAAGTTGTTAAATGCATGCATTTGCATATGCTAATTAGTTATATGCTTTACTGCTTTACTTAACACCTTGTATCATTTGCATATATGCTAATTAGGTAGTTGCACAGGGGTCACTCAGCGTGGGTAGGATGGAGCAACTTCAAAGTGAAAACAACAATCTTGTAGCAGAATTGCAATCCAGCCAACAGGTACTCAAGATATGACAGATGTTAACCTATTTAAATTTGTTCTTTGAATTGTTTTATGTAAATCTGATATATGTATGGTCCTTGTTGGACAAATCCCTGTTTTTCAGCAGGAGGGCCTAAATCGACATGGCTCTACAGAGTATGATATATTATATAAGTATATATTAGCTCAGCCGGCTAATTTGGTGGCAGCCACTGTGTGTGCGCTGAACAGTGGAGATCCCTTGGTTCCCGGTTCAATTCCCATCGCTGCTCTCCTTGTGTGGAGGTCTGAAATGCAAATTTCAAAAGCGGACCGTCTTTCAGATGAGACATTTAAACAGTTGGTCCTTTGTGCAAAATGGTTCATGTGCACAGTAAAGGACGCAGTACACTTTTTGGAATAGAGTAGGGGAGTGTCTACTGGTGTACTGCCCTCAACATCAGAAGCTGCAGAAGGAGACATGGATCAGTTTTCTCAGACCTACTAAGATTTACGAAAAAGAAATCTTAAATTGATAACTCACCAGATTAATAGTCTATACATTGAATAGAAAAAGTATTATTTATGTATTAATGTATATTAGTGAATACATATAATATTAGTGAATGAAAATATCCCTATCAAAGGCTAATAACTAACCACTAACTAGCTAATTAATTTATTCTTTCTTTAACACTTTTGGCATTGAATATATTCTTCTACTAACATATAATTTAACTGTAAGGCATATATATGAATATAAGATATACTGAATTAGTCACCAATAGTGGCGTATCTAGGGGAGGGCATGGGGGATATTACTCGCGCTCCCCCCACCTGGTCGCCCCCAAAAAATCACGGTCAAGTAGTTAAAAATCACCTAAAATCACCATATTTTGCAAATTAGCGCCCCTCAACTGAACATCGAGCCCACCCACTTCACCTTAACTGAAGATAACAATAAGTAAACACACATTCAAATGTGCAAAGTTTCACAACGCTGGTGACCATAATCATAATCATATTATTATGATCATCATCATTATGATGTAATCATGATGTCGATGAGATAAGAATAAAAATAATAATGGAATTCAAGTTGACTTGGGGGAAGAGTTAACTTGGGGGCAAGTTGACATGGGGCGAGTTGACTTGGGAACAAGTTGACTTGGGCATGAGCTGACATGGGTCCGAGTATACTTGGGGGCAAGTTGACTTGGGACCATTTTGACTGGGGCCAAGTTGACTTGAGGCTGACTTGACTTGTTTCCTAATGATGAAATTAGTATGGTATCCGCCTACGCAATACACTTACGGCAAATTTTCCCTCGAGCCTTGGATATGCCACATGTGCAAGTCCTCCCTCCTCTCTCTTGACAGAATTCCTGCTTGTGCAGCCATATTTCATGTGAATTTTTTTTTTATCTTAGCTTCAAAATTCATCACAAGAGGAAGTAAATAAATTAAAGGCAAGTTTAAATGTTTATATAATAATTGCTCATATAGTATTTAATTTTTATAATTATATAATTATTTATTTAATTACGATTAATAATAATGATGATAATTATTCTTGTATATAAATTCTGTGTCTACTGCCCCCACGAAGGCTGTAGACACTTATTTATATTGTCTCACTTGTAAATTGTGAGAATATAAATCCAGTTTGTGAGTTCAAAGTTCAAAAGAGGAATTATGGGATGTTATTTCATCATAAGCTAACACTGGAAATTAACAGTCTTTCAAATTGTAAATCGAGTCTCCACATAGAAAGTACCCAAAAAAATATCTATGTACAGTAAAGCTGTAAATATATGCTCTTCCTAGGAGCCTATTTATTTTTGTGATTGTTATTACCATTAATACACTCATATATAAATTATTTTTTATGTATTTTAACACATTTTCTTCTTGTAGGCAATAAATGGTTCCTTAAAAAATCAACTAGAGACTCAACAAGAAAATAACAGTAAGATTACCACAGAGAAAGAAGAGCTACAGGGTCAAATGTCAGAGGTTTTAGGTACAAATTCCAGACTCAGTGAGGAGATTAAAGGAATTCAGAATGATAGGGACAACCTACACAAAGACTTGCAAGAGTCTAATAAGGTATGAGTATGCCCATATATAGTCAATGATGTGCTATATATGGTCATGATGTGATGTCATCATGACCAGATTTTAGAGATGCCACATGTTTTTGTCAAATAACATTTGATGGTCTGGACAAGGCTTAAAGCTTTGTCCAAAAACTTGTATGCCCATATATAGTCATGATGTGCCCATATATAGTCATAATGTGCCTATATATGGTCATGATTTGATGTCATCATCACAATATTTAGGCATGTCACTTGATTTTGCTAAACCAAATGTGCTAGTCTGAATGGGGCTTTAGACCTAATAAGCCAGCTAACAAACCCAGTCAAGAATTAATTCAGTCAACATCTAGAAAATTTATCAAGTCTGTAGACTTGGTAGGCCTATCTCAAAGCAAACAAAAACTTTATATTCTTTTTTCAAGAACTTAATGACTCAGGTCCTTTAACCAACAAAATTAGTAAACATTAATACTGGAGTGATGTTTGCTAAATAAATATGTTAAGTGAGGTATTGTTTTACTTGAAATAGAAATATTGTTAGAAGACATTAGATTTTCACCAATCATCAAACGTATAGAATTAGGTCCAACTAGCCTGACTTGCATGCATGCAATGAAACGAAAAACACACTAGTACCACGAGGTAGTGACCGCCCTCTTGTACAGTAATTTGAATACAGCTCAAAATTCAAACAGTCATTTTCTACACACAGCATGTGCTCGATACGAACAACTTGTACATTGTCGTACTTTTCGAGATAGAATTCCGTTTCAAGAGAACCTGACAGGCTTCTTGCCATTCTGTACTCTTTGCTACCATATTTTTGATGTCCTATGTCCTTTCTGCCCTATAATGTTTTCATTTTAAGATGTATTGTGTTTGTTGCTTTTGAATTATTTGTGTTATGAATTCTGTGTCAGCGGATATTAATTATTTTAAAATAATAAAATATTAATGTATTTTCTAAGAGATAGGCCTATTGAAACAAAAAAATAGCGATACAATCTAATGTGATTTCAAATTTCATTTATATATATAATTTCTTTTTTTGTTTAAATACGAGTTTTTATGTTTTCATTTACAGATTGCCGAAAAAAGGAAGAGCATGTTAGATGACTTAGCAATTCAAATGCAGACAATTAAACAACAAAACACTAAAGAAATTGAAGCTTTAACTATAAAGTACAAGGTAATACATTTTTCATTTTCCTAATTGGAAAACAGATATGCATAATTAAGACTCTACATCAGTTTTGTTAAGTAATCCTCCAGTGGTGTACCTAAGAGATATGAAATGAGGGGGCTGATGGGAATGCAAAGGTAGAGGAAGGGGGTGCTAGTTCGGAACAGAAGGTGATATGACGTAATTTTGGCTTTTGACATTTTAGATTTGCGGGAAGGGGGGACTGGATGGCACAAGCCTTATTGGGGATTGTGTGCAGCCCCACGCACCCACAAAATAGGTGCTGCAACCATCATCCAAAGGATCTCGGCTTTAAATCCAGAAAAAGCAACAATGACAACAGTTTTTTTGTCAATTTTGCCGAAAAAATACATAAATGTAGAAATTTCACCATGTCAAATTTAATTTATAGTTTATCTTACATTTAAAAAGATTTAAAATTTTACAGGCAGGATGATTTTTATTTATAATAATTTCAGGATGAATTTGATGACCTCACAAAGACACATGAGGTAGGTTGCCTTCCTAACTTCCATATTTTGTGAAGAAATTTAACCTTTCAAAAGCTTACACTTCTATTTTATGAATGTTTATTTATATAATTTATATTACATTGAATCCATTATTTTGTGATCATATTTTATAATGTGATAAGAATCTTCATTGAATTTACTATCTGACCTAATATTTTTCATTTACTGTTTTTTATTTACAAATATATTGTTTATTTACATCTACATTTTTCTTGTTCTCATGAAAGTGACAACCTTTTCATGCTTGACTTGTTTTTCCATACAATATAACCAAGTCTGTTGTAACTGCAGTATGTATTTATTTTATGTTTTTTTGTTAAGTTCAATTGTTCATTTCTTTTGTTTTTAGGAAGAAATGAATAAATTGCAAGAACAGCTAACACAGGAACAGGTACATATACTCGCTAAGTGTTGTTTCATGATCTGATGTCATAATATTTTGTGGGCTCTCTTCAAAATGAGGAAATGGTTTTATATTTTAGGGTGCCCAATCCCTCTCCTCCTGTTTAATTATTAATAAAGAAAAAATTTAAGGATTGTTGTTTTTTGATTGTTTTTATAGGAAAGAAGAGCGGCACTTGAGCCACTGAGAGATGAAGTTACTAAACTCAATGAAGAAGTTCAATCATTAACAAGCTCTAAGGGATGGTTTGAAAGAAGGCTTCAAGAAACTGAGGTAGTTTCATTTTCATGAAAATTATTGGACAGTTAGAGGTTCCCCCAGTTTTTTATATAATTTTTTAGACTCGTTTGAAAGAAGGCTGTAAGAAACTGTGGTCCATCCATTTTCATGAAAATTATTTACCAATTAGATGTTCCTCCAATTTTTTATATAATTTTTAAGAGATTTCAAAACACTCTTTTCTGTTACCTCCCTCCCCACAACAGAGTACAAAATATTTTTATTATTTTTGGTATTAACCTTTTTTCATTTTCATAAAACAGTACACACAACATTGACTACAACCCCATATGCTTTGTACATTTGTGAAAACTACGGAAAATAGATGACCCCTATTTTTTATTAATATTAATGATAATAAGAACAACAACACCAACAACTTGACTGGAACAGGATAATTCTTTCCAATGTAATGTCCTTTATTCTAATAGGATAAAAAAAATTTACATTATGATTGTATTTATAGATGGAAGAATGTGTGTGTATAATAGTTATTGATCTTATTTTTTGACAATTTTAGGAAGAGTTGAAGAAGGTAATTGAGTCACATGAGCAAGAAATTGTTGATTTGAACAAAAAGATGGAAGACCAAGATATTGTAAGCAATCATGTTTTCCCTTTTTTACATAATATTTATAAATAGTAAAGATAAGTATAAGTTCAGTAGCATCTCCGAATTACTTACCCCTCTGTCCGAGCACAGTTCGTAATTAAGAAAATTTGTAATTCAGCGAGTTAAAATTGTCTAGCATCTCAGGGCGTTGAGGGTAGGCCTAGGCCAGTGCTACAAAGTACAGGGCTAGGTAAGCCTAAGCCTTGTCATGGGAGCCAAATTTTGTCACGAAAAATGACTATTATTTTACTGTTTTCTGCTACAAAATAATACTTTACAGTTAGCCAAAACCTGTGATCACAGTGAAGTATTCATTTGAAGTGATTTCCAAATGAAAACATGACCATATAATGGCAAAAGCGAGTGTTATTTTTCTCTTCATAAAAATTGATACGAATAGCGCCCCCAATGAACAAAAAGTGAGATTTACTGAACAGTATGCCTGAACAAGCATGCACAGCTCAAATGTAATATACCTCGGTTGAATACGATCTATATTTCTTGCTTTAAACTTAGTTTTATGTCACTATAATGGCTTAAATGTTTCTTTCTTAGCTGATATAACATTTTATATTATTTTTGAAGACCTTTAAATACAATTTAGTGTTTTGTTGTTGAAAACGATCATTCATAATGACATCATCGTCGCGAATTGAGCTCGTAAAAATTGAATGTTCCTAATTGGGAGGTTCGTAATTGGGAGACGTTAATGTAATGAGAAAATTATTTTAGGCATTTAGACACTGATCTCTGGAAGAGTAGTTTGTTTGTAAAAAGATTAAATCTTTTCTTTTTTCCAGTAATGCAAAATATATGCAGTTGGACTTGCCTAAGTCAACTGCAAACTGGCATTGACAAATTGTTTAAAGTACTTAAAATTTGACTTACAAATTGTTAATTAATGGAATGGATGGAAACAATGTGTTAAAATAGGATCGACTTGGAAATTATTCAAGATAGGCAAAGTCGACTTAAGCAAGTGTAACTGTATTATACTTATTTATATAATACTATGCTAACACTTACATTGTTTATTATAATAGGAGTTCAAGGAAGAATTGAACAAAGAAAAAATAGTTTTGCAAGAATCTGAAGAAAAATGTGGAGAGATACAGAAGAAAATAGAGGAATTAAAACAGGTATCAACAATGTGAATATTATGTAATATATCTAATTAGTGCTGTTCAATATTTAGGACTTTGTTAAGCCTATGTATTAAATACACAAAGAATCAATATTAAGCTTGGTTTCCATACAATCGCTATACTGTCGCTACATCAATCGCTAGTGGAAAAGCTGCCCGAACACAATTGGAAAGGCACTCCGATGCGTCTGCAACACAATCGACAAGACTGAACCAGATTCAGCCTTCCCGGCGGCCGTCGCCGATAGGGTGTAGCAATTGTATGGAAACCATGCTTTATAAAGAACAGTATTAGTAGCTGTAGTTATTGAGGAACAAGCTTCTTCAGTTTGAAAAGTATCTAGAAAAATACTTTAAATGAGTAATGATAAATGTAACGGGATATAGTTTAACCTGAGGTAATGTTGAAACATGATAAGCAATGAAGAACATCGACCAAAAATGAACAGTCACGCTATATAATTTCTATGACCTTGACCTTGTCAGTTGACATTTTCCCAAAGGTTAATCATCTTATTCTTGGATTATTAGGGAGCTTTCGATTTGTGCGATGCGACGCTAGAACGAAATCACTCATGCGTGACCATCCTACCTGGCGTCCTACGTTCTCTGCATACTTAGATTTGGCCAAATTGTGTTACAGAATCTACTTGACGAGGTGACCTTAACGTTCTTGTATGCACAGATGACTTTTAGTGACGTCATTGCGTTCTACGTCCTACTGTCGTAGTGAAATCAAAGCTTCCTATTATGTACGATTCCACTCAATTCTTTGATGATCCATTCCTTAGTTTTTGTGTAATCTTGCTAAAGACAGACAAACAAAAGACAGGGGTGAATACATAACCTTATGGGCAGAGGTAAAGTTGGTGTGATTAATTAAAGCATGCATGGAAATGACTTTAGGCAGCAGAGACAAATTGATAATACTATGTGGTCTTGATGGAGCTTTGGGTGGAAGAAGCTAATGATACATGGTGGTTCTTCTCAAAATGATGATAAATTTCCTTTTTTTTTGTTGTTATTTTAGCATGCCATTGACAGCATTGAGGAAAGAAAGATCAGCGAAAAAAAGGGCATTGCAACGGTAAGGTCATTATTATCATTTGTTTTTAGTAATTGTTTTTATTGTTTTTGTAATAATAGTATATGCAGGATACTACAGAACTTCTTATAGAAATAAAAATTAGTAGTTGTAGTCATTGTTACCTACAGAGAGTAGCTTAGCTCAATCGACTAAACTGGTGGTAGCCACAGTGTTTGCGCTGAACCATGGAGATTTCTTGGTTGCCGGTTCAATTCCCATCGTTCTTGTATTTTAGCTGGAGGGCTGAAATGCAAGTTACGATAGTGCACCATGTTTCGAATGAGACGTTTAAGCCGTTGGTCCCATGTGCATTATGGCCCATGTGCACGTTAAAGAATGCAGTGCACTTTTCGGAAAACAGTAGGGATTGTCTCTCGGTGTACTGCCCAACCACCACCAGAAGGACCCCACTGGAAATAAGTCTTCTTCAGACTTTTGTGCATTATCCTTGGTGTTTATACCAAAATACATCCAATCTAAAATCCAACCATCAATCCTGAAAATTGTGATGTCACTATACTATATACTATGCAAATGACGGAGAAAACATTCAATAACGCAATGATTTATATTGTATATTATACAGTTATGTTCATGCATATATTACATGTAGTGTGATTATCTTCACCAGGTTAAAGATTTAAAACGTCAGTTGAAAATGGAGAGGAAGCGCGCAGAGAAGCTGCAAGAGAGGTTGCAGCAGGTTCTTGCAGATGCCTCACCCTCCCGTCTAGGCTTGGATGACCTCTTGCAAATCCCGGATTATGAGAGTCGACAGAAGTTTGACAACAGTAGCGTGTCATCATGGAGTCAGAGTGGCGCTGGAACAAGCTTTGATGCTACTCAGGTGCAGAATGCAATTTAGTCATTCAAACATTTACTGTACATAGAGTAGTTTCCTTGGGTATACGCCCACAGTATGCCTTTTACAAATATTTTTAGGAAAAAAAATCTAAATCTAATATTGGCTTTGAATAAGGCATACAATGCTAATAAATTGCCATTTGATTGAAAAGGAGATTCCTCAGGTGTAAGCCCATCCCCAAAAATTGGTTAAATTTTGTGGTCAAGAGGGAGTGGGGGGTAGCCTTATTCCAGAGGAACTACGGTAATAATAATAAGACAAAAAACAATTGTTGTTTCCCGAGTATGACCAACCCAAAATCTTTAAAACGTTTTTTTTTTCTTTTTTTTTTTAATCTTGTTTATTTCCAAGGAGTCTTGGAGTTATTTGAGTAGAGTTTCTTTTCAAAAATCTTGTTTATTTCCAAGGAGAGGAGTCTTGGATTTAATTTGGTATTTTAATCAACAATTTTAGCCCTGTGTTTACCAAATTTTTAGCCAAAATTCATGGGGAGAAGGTTAACCAAGCACCCTATGATTGTGCCAAGGCTATTGGTAAGAAAGACATGAAAATCCTGCCTGACCAACCCTGTTTTTAAATTTTTACTTTTGTACAACACAACATTTTTTTTTTGGCCACTTTAGGATCAGTAATTAATACTTCCTCTTCCATTCTAGTACAGACCACCTGTCGGTTTATTTTCGTACTGTGGTGGTGTGCGAAGTAGGTGAAGTTTTAGAATCCCAGACTTTTATTTTATTTACTGATTGGGATGAGATTTGGTTCCACTGAGAACCCTCTATATGACCAGAGAAAACAAACTCCATGTTTTCTAATCACATGATCTATGTTTCTGTTTAGTCACCTGATGTTTCAGTTGTAGCAGGTTCACTGAGTGATGAAACTACAGAATTGATTGCTAGGATTACAGAGTTACAACAATGTAACTGGACACTTGAGGAAAAGGTACTTTTTACCTATAGAGTGCTCTCTTCTATTCAGTAACTTTTAACATACTGTCAGTAATTTCCTGCAAATATCCATTCATAAATAATAATAATAATAATAATAATAATAATAATAATGGTTTACTTATAGAGCACATATAGGTCTCACCACGAAATGAGACGCATCGTTGGTGAAATCATATTGAGATATTCACAAAAATAGGTCAAAGGCAACATTTTTACAAAATTTTGATTTTAATGTTTTTGAATAACTTGATACTTATATTTTATGATTGTGTATTTTTCAAGTGAATTTTCTTACTAAAACAGTATTTATCTTCGCATATTCTGTAATTCTAGTCCTATTATTTGTACAGGTTAGTTTATCTTTGAGGCCGATTTTCTCAAAACCTGGTTCTCATACACCTGAACTTTAAATGCTAACATCTCTGGATCTATTTATCCTTGGGAAGCCATTTAAAGACCAAATTAAAGCTTACAATGTGATCTACCAAAATGTAATATTAACTCATTTTTTGACTTTCTAACGATGAGACTCATTTTGTAGTGAGACCTCACATATTATGGAGACCTCATAAACATATTATAGAGAATGAAGTGTACAGAAGAAAAAAGTACCAAAAGGGCAATTCCACGGTAACTTCTGGACACTTTGACACAAAATTTTAGACTTTATGTGCATACAATATATATAATTTATTCAACAATCAACAAATCACAGTTACACATTGTACTTGCTACTGCTACCTACATTTCTATTGAAAAAAAACATTAAAAATC